GGGTTGTGTTTTGGGGAAGGAGGAGGATGAGATGTGTTGGAGAAGGGTTGCAGGCAGGCAGGCAGGCAGGCAAGTCACCCGATGCATGCAAAGGCGGTACCACCACGTGATCACACGAAAAGGAAGCGCGTAGACAGGGAGAGACGGGGAGAGGGAGAGGAAGAGGCACGTAAACAAAGAGAGACATCGACAAGTGTACATGTGCACACACATATGTACACACACACACACACACACACACACACACACACCTTGTCTACTGAGGTTGACGCGGCGAATGGCCATCAAGCGGCGATGGATGTGGGAGCGGCTCAGCCGACGGCGAACGCTGGTTGGACCTTCCATCCTGTTGTGTCCACGTGACTCACTCGCTCGACGTTTCCACCTGGCAACTCCTTCCACGTGTACTTCACCCCCAATCCAGTCCCTCTCACTCTAGCCAGTGCACGTGGGTCTATCGCGCACACACACGCACAAGCACACGCGCACGCACGCGTGGTGTCTGGGTTGGCTGCCTGCACGGGAGGCCTGTGTAGCCTGTGCTGTTGCTGTTGCTTCGCGTTATTGTGATGGCGTGGTTTGGTTGGTGTTGCGGCGTTGTTGTCAGCGTCGTCGTTGTTGTCGTGCGCAAAATCACACACACACACGCACACACACAAGACGAAGAAGACGACTCAGCAGACGTGTCCGTGCAAATTACCTGCTTGTGGTGAAGGAGTGAGTGTGAATGCGGGGAGGTGGTCACATCAGGCGCATCTCGTTAGTGACGGACAGACGGCCATGGCTCACGCTGCGCGTTGTGCCATGTGGCGCAAGGCCATCATGGAAGAGAAGCAGGAGCAGATACACGTGAGTTTGTTGAGTTGGTTGCGTGCATGTCGGTGTGCGCGCATGTTGGTATGCATGCATGTCGTTGTGCGCGTGTCGGTGTGCGCTCATCTCACACTCACTCCCACCCTCGCGCGCCCTGTCTCTTTATGTGCAGGAACGCCAAGCAAAGCTGGAAGACTTGCCCACGCACGAGCAGGAGAAGCAAGGGCTATGCCTTCGTCGACTGCAGGTCACTGCCCGAAAGCGTGACTTGGGCGGCAGGCACATCTTCACTATGACGTCCACGCGATCCACACCGTACGGGCCCTGCGTCTGGCCCTTGTGATGTGGGGGAAGAGGGGCCAGTGCTGCGTGTTAGCCAGCTTCTTGTTGAAAGGGGACGAGCGCCCCATCTCCTGCCAACGCGCCTTCCACTCTCACAGTACACACACACACACACACACACACACACACACACACACACACACACACACACACACGTACTGCAACAGGGAAGGCGGCACTGCACCGCTGCTCGCCACCCGCATCAGGTGCGATGTTGCTATGCCTTGTTTGCCTGCTTGCAGGGACATGTGTTTGGTGGCTGCTCAACTCACTGCTTGCCATCACACATCCGTGGCTGCATTGTCTTGGCAGCGTGGGCGACGTCGTTTCTGTCGGCACCCTGAAGGATGGCATGCGCGGCTTTGCCACCGGCGTCATCAACAAGATGTCAAGTGCGTGCGTGTGTGTGTGTGTGTGTGCGTGTGTGTATGTGCATGTGTGTGTGTGTGTGTGCGTGCGTGCGTGTGCACATGCGTGTGTTTGCGAGCACGAGCGAGTGAGCCAGAGAGAAAAGGGAGGCTGGTTCCACGCTTCACGTTCCCTAACGCTATCTTTCCGCTGAAAGGCATGCAGCTGCAGGTTGCGGTTGAGGAATCACAGGTGCACCACGACCAGCCGTGGGAGACAAACACGCTCGTCCTGCGCCAACTCAGCGATACCGTCACTTTTGGAAAGCTGCAGTGGTGCGTTTGGACGTGTGCACGTGCGTGTCTGCGTATGTGTGTTGTAGGTGTACCTGTGAGTCGATGCGCGCGTGCATGTGTGCTGTAGGTGTGCACGTGCGTGTGTGTGTGCACGCATACGTGTGTGCATGTATGTGTTCACTGTCCTGTGCGCATGCACATGCACCTTCTTCCACGTTTGCTTTCGGCACACACGCTCACACGATGCATGTGTGCTGTGCATTCGCAGGACCATTGACAAAGTGGAGAAGGGCGACGTGCAGTGCCCGCGCCTGATTCAGCTCTTGATGGAGGAATCTGTGCACCCACTGCCGGTACGATTGCATGTCATGCTCACGCGCCCCCCAGATACATAGGCGCACACACGCACACGAAGGGAGAGGCAGGAGCAGCCATACGCACACACACACACATACACACGCACACATACTCACACACACACACGCACACGCACACACACACACACACACGCACGCACGCACGCACACATACCCCCCCCCACACACACACACACACGCACACACACACACACACACACACACACAGCCATATCGAGCCCAAGAGAACCTGTGGAAATGGCAGGAATATCCAGTACTTTTGTTGTCGCTAAGCTTTCATCACAGTACCTTTTCCATAGGTCTTCTCTAAACTTTATCAATGGG